CAGCCTGTTCCAGTGCCTTCCTACCCTCATGATGATGAACTTCTTCCTGCTGTCTAACCTAAAGCCTGAGAAGGCTCTGCAGGACACCCGAGCCAGCAACGGGCTTCGGGCAGGCCGTGCCGGCTGCTCCGGCCACGGAGCCACCTCACCTGGGATGGCCTTGGCCCACTTGACGGCAGCCACCACCTGCCTTCCCCCCAGCATGTTGAGGGTGGAGAGGATGCGCCAGCTGGAGTCGGGCAGGGTGCTGTCGTAGCCCGAGTACAGCACCTCGGGCTCGATCACCTCCAGCAGGGAGACCAGCGTGGGCGTCAGCTGCGGCAGCGAGGCGGGCACCATGCTCTTGTTCCCGGGCCCCTCCGGCGCATCCCGCGCTCCCGCTGCGCCCGCCGGCTGCATTCCTTTTATCTTCTTCTTTGTTTTCCGAGCTAGGAAAGTTTAGGGAAGTCACAGGTTAGATCATGGAAAGTGATGGCGCAGCAATAAAAAGGCCACAGAGGAAACGCTGCCTCCGTGTTCCTGTGCCGGCAGATCAGGCAGCCCAGAACTTAGCACATTTCTTCAGAAATCTGTAAATAATTTCATTTCCAATCTAATTAAGCTTCCTGTTGAAAAGAAACTTATTTTATGTTTTAATGAAAGTCACATTCACGTTATAAATGTTAAACAACATCTGCAGGCAGCACAAAGCACTGCCTGAGCCTACAACTTCTGTTACATGCAACGTTTCAGTGAAACTTCATGAGAGCACAACACCTCCTTGGAAACATCTGCAGAACTGCATGGTTTATGAGTTCCTTAAAATATTACCTACAGAAACCATACAGAAGAAAGGAAAAAAAAAAAGAAAAAGAAATATTTAATGGGTAAGAAGTAACTCAATCCCTTGAGCCAGGAAAAACATCTTTTTGAAAATGCTGGGCAGGAGGAGATTATTCTCTTGCCAGCTCTCTTGCATATAAATCATTGCTGTGTAATTAAACCATAAAACTCATTTGCCAAATAAATAAAACATCACACAGAGATGTTAACCATAAACTACAAAAAGTTGGAGCAACAATTTTATTAGCATATTGTCAATAATGGAGTCTCCCCCTTGGCTCTGGATGCAGTCTGCTACACTCAATGCACTATTTAACTGCCACCAAACGGGGCCCAGCTCTTTTCCTGTGTCTCAATTAATTAATTGATTTCTGTTCTGGAACGTCCCAGATAAATCAGTAGCACATAAAAGCATCATGTAATGTGCTTTCACATTCAGAGTTTCTACTGACCTACTCAGACTCTGTAACCATCAGCTCTGTGGGGTAACAACACAGCATCCCACTCCTGACCCTGCCTCTCCTACTGGCTCAGACAGAGACTTGAGAAACCAACAGCTAAAGAAAACAAATTCTCTACGGACCTTGCATAAAGTGCAGTTTCCCAAATCTTACACACTGGCCACATTTGCCAAGACTGTCATGAGGGAATAGCAACAGAGCTTCTTGTTATTCTCATCTATATTTTGAAATGGCTGCTACAAAACCCTTTCAACATTCCGGCATTTTTTGCCCCATTATCCTTGTTCTCAACAGCAAACGAACTCCTTTGACCGAAATGTACATGCACAAGCCTTCAGCTTCATGCAGACACTGGTATGGAGCAGTTCCAGCCCAGAAAGTCTAGGAAAATTATATTAAAAAGAAATATATCTGATAAGACGAAGTAATTTGCAAGAATTTTTACGAGGCTACGCTACTAGACCTGACTCAGATCCACAGTTGCAACTCACAAACAAAGAAGGTTGAGGTAACGTATGTCTTTACCATTTGTTTTCAAATATAAAAATACCACAGATTCAATGCCAGCTCCTCAGGGTACATGACAGAAGAGCAGCCATACAAATAAGCTCGGCATGGGAAGAAAAGCATCCAAGATTTTCTGCTCAAAACAGACAACCTCCAGGCCCTGTGCTCCGGCTCCCGCAGGGCGTTCCCGCTGCCCACTTCCCAGGACAGGTTTCCTGCCCCTGGGGCAGATGGTGTGTGCACCTGAGCCCCACGGGCAGCCCTGTGGCACAGCAAGCCCTGCCAGACCCACCTGGACACCACCCGCCTTGCCTGGAAAATGGGATTGACAGCAACACACCCCACTGCAGGTGCAGAGCAGGGCAGGGGATGTTACTGCAAAGAAACCCTTAAAAAAAAATATATATATATATAAAAATACAAAATAAAGAAGGCAGAAAAACCCTGTAACTTGCCAGCAGTTTAACTATAAAGTGCAGTATGAAAGGCCAAAAAAATTATGAGATTACTTTTTACAGGCATAAAACCTAACAATAAATCTTTTCTTCAAACACACCAGCAAGGGAAAGGGTGCCAAAGAGTGCCTGGGGTCAATCAACGAGGGAAGCGGAAACGAGAACTCAGCGAAACAAAAGACTGCAGCACAAAATACCACTTTTCCACTGTGTAAATCTCTAGCACCTGCAGCCTGATAGCTGTCTGTTTTCCCAGTCCCTTACAACCAAAGAACCAAGCAGCAGAAACAAGAAAGTTCCAGAAAAGGTTGATCATTAGGGCCAAAGGTGCTAAAACAAACTATAATAGAAAATTATCGAGTGTAAAAGAAGCCACTTTTGCCTCAGCACAAGAGCAGGTAAGAATTAAAATACTCTATGGTAGGTTTTATTTATTTTTTTTAATTTTTTTTTTACAATATTGAAATAAACATTATTCATTAAAAATAAAATTTGTATTCTACCCAATACCTAACAGTGAAATTCCTTGCAGGTATTAGAAACCTGGAGATACTCCAGGGCAGGTAGATGGAAGAATTCCACCTGCAAGGAAGGCGAGGTGAAAGGGGCCTTCAGACTGACATGCTAGGGCAGTGTCACCTCCCGCTCCTCATTATCTGGTCTGCTGACAAGCATTGTTTATGCACTGAGAATACATGACTTTTCAAAAAGAAATTACTGTCTTTTTAGACAGGTAGACAGGTAGGCACATTTCATTATCTTTTAAACAAGAGTAATTCCTGAACTGTGACCCTAAAATAGCCAAGATAAAAGGAACGCTTTTTTAAGCTTCTTTTGCACTTTGTACTGCCTCTAAGTTCTGCTTTATAGGAGCTCTTCTGTACACCCAGCTCACCATCTGCTCAACTCCCTGTTTCAGGGCTGCTTTGCCCCATGTCACAGCACCTTGGGCTTCTTCATTTTTGTGTCGCTGAGTTTCTAGATCTTCTTCCCCTCTTGATGATAAAAGCTTCTCCTCCCCCCGCCTTTTCCAACAACTTACATAACAATATCCATCCTCCAAAAACCCACTATTCTGTAGGATTCTCTGTGCCAAAATTCACAAACTCTGGCTGGAAGGGCTCCAAACTCCATGTGGGAAAGTGGCAAATATCAGACGTCATTCCATTTGAATTTTCTTTGGTGCAGCTCAAATGGCACGTCCTAGAGCCTGAGGTATTAATGCCTCCTTTAGAAACAGTTCACAGAACTTGATGCAGGAATGGAAAGGCTTAATATTACGAGTAATATAGGTAATATGGGGCTCTATTCATATGAATAAATACATGAGTATTATATATGAATGTTGAAAACAGCTATGGAGAGAAAAAATAGAAACAAGTCATAAAGCAGAATGTATTCTTTTCCACCTCAAAATGAAAACTCTCCTCCTGAAAGAGGCTAGAAGCAGAAGAGGAAAACAGGACGTGCTAGCACAGACTCCACTGTGCACATCACCTACCCCTCTAACAGCATTCACCACCTGCATTTCACTAAAGGATATTATCACTGACTGAAACGAAACTCTGTTCATATTTGCATCTGTCAAATACATATTTGACATTTTTGTTTTATCTGACAATTCTGATTATACAAGTATCACCATGATAACTATGCTAGTAAGTACTTTATTGATACCTACAGCTCAAGGAAAAAATATCAAGCATAACACGTAGCTGACAGGAATAAAAATGTTTTATGCCCTTTTACAACTGCTGCTCTACCTGTAGCTGATGTGGACTTGGGTTTCTCATAAGCCACACAGGACTTAGCAGAGAACAAACACATTCTGGTACATTTAAATGTATTTATTTAACCTATCTTTTCCAGAGAGATTCTGACAGACATTTAAGAAGCATCCACAGCACAAACAAAAAGCATTTTCTCCTCTGCAGTCTGAAGGTGTAAGCCCCACTTGAGCTCTGCCTCTCTGGGCTTTCCCTCCCAGCTGTGATTTCAGTGTCAGGTCAGTCTCCTGAGCTTGGATGGGCACATCTCACACTTCCCCCTGGGAATTCAACAGTTCTGCTGCCTCAGAGTCAGTGAAAAGCAACAAGATTTATGTGCTGACAGGAATAAAAAAGAACCCTGGTCTGTGTGTATGACTCACTCCTGCTGAGCACAAGGAAGGGAGCACAAGTGAGCACCACCAGAAAGCAGGGGAGAAATCTCAGTATGAAAAAAATCTTGCTTTTCATTAAAATGCTCACACATGCCATAAAATGCAGTATTTTTACCATATTAAAACCCTGCTCAGACAATTGCTTTAGAATCATAAGCAGCACGACCTTTATGGTCTAGGACCCAAAAGTAAAGCTGAAGAGCTGAGTTACCTTCCAGGTTCATGCCGGCCTGCAGACACTTGCGGTAGCGGCACGCGGGGCAGTTCTTCCGCCGGATCTTGTCAATAATGCAATCGTTTCTCCCAGCACACAGATAGTTGTGCTGCCCTGTGTTCAGAGACAAACAAAATAACCATAAGCTCTACTACTACAGTAACAGATGAGGCCATTGATTCCCCCTGTAATGTGCAGGAGCTGGAGACTATACTCACTGTACTTCATCCCTACGATTTCCCATCTCTATACAGCAAACAGATTTCTTGTATTTAGACACCAAACCAATAAAACTACGTAGAAAACCTATTTTTCTCTTACATTTCTCAAAGACATATTCTGCAGCATGTTTCCCATTTCCCTAGAGTTTCACAGGACATATGAGTAATGTCCATAACACATTTAGCAAGTATTTATGTCAACATTCCTACAGCCACACAGACGTGGCTTTCACCATTCTGAAACCAGGTTGGTTCTGGGACCAGAGAAATTGAACCATGAGGGCTCTGAATCATCAGAAAAACAAGCAGCAGAACAACACAGCTTTGGCCATCCTGGGTTCCTGAAGACAGGACCCTGTCTACATGAAGAATTGTATATAAATACACAGTTGCTGTCCCACCCTCATCTTTCCTCTTCTCCTGTAGTTCTCCTCTTAGCTGAAAGAAATACCCTTTATATTGATACAGTCATTTTCTGCAACTGTTTCCATTACAGTGTAAAGGTGTTTGGACAAAGGGACCAAAAGGGGTTTCAGGCTAAAGCCCGGAAAACCAAGGTGCAGAGTCAGCTTGATCCACACACTAACAGGTGCCTGGCAGCTATTAATGAAAAGGGTATTGCAGAAACAAATTCTTCTTACATATGTTCCTAATAAGAAAAATGCCTATAAGAGACAAAAGCAAATTATTTGTTCCTTAAAGCGAATACTAGAACTAACAGATCCTGGAAGAGCTCCTGAAAACATCCACACTCCTTCATCCAAATGATTAAGGCTGGAATGGTCTGTGGAACAATAAAAATGAAAGCAGATGTAAGCCCCGAGCAACTTATTGCCCTTTTTCAGCTACAAGCCTGCTCACATTTTTACCATTACCACAGCTGGTAAGATGCAGCAAGGTGCACCACTGCTCAAAGGAATGAATGCTTCCATCTCTTCATGTGTCAATACTTTTGCGATTTCTTTTAAGCTTGAGAACAGGCAAACCCATTGCTATGACACATGTTCAGCTGCCAATGCCCTTCTGAAGGTTATTGAGTGACCTCATTTTAATCAACGATACAGGTGATTATTTCCTTCAAATAAAGAGCCTGGCTCTAAACGGGAGTGCAGCTCTTGTCAGGCTGTAGCTCTGAACAGCATCATTCCAGCCCTGAGGAATCACTCCCCTTTCATGGATGATGGGAATATCTTTAACTTTTCTACAGCTCTCTGATCCTGAAACAGAGTCAGACACTGAGGTACAACCTGCTTCATGCTTACGCAGCCCAAAACGACAGCTGACTTGCTCTGCCATGCACACTAGAGTCACATGTAGTTCTCCATCACCTCTATTTCCCAGAATGGTTTTCTTCCCTGTATTAGAGAGAAACCTTAATGATCCAAAACCACACACATGTGATCTAGCTACTCCAGCAAGTACCACATGTGGGCATCTAATATTGGCAGAATTGCTTACAGGAAAACTTGTAAACTATCAGAAACTCACATACAACAAATGTATCAAGTTTCATGTTCAGTTTTATACACAAAACAGCTCACATGAAACTTACAATCACAAACAAAAAGTCTAATGCACACAGACCAATATTTGTATATAAAAAGACAAATAAACAAAAACAACAGTGAAAGAAAAGGAAAGAAACAAAAACCCAAGACAACAATACACCCTTTACACGGTGAGTGAAAGGGAGCATTTTATAAATGTAAATGGAACCCGTGCTGCAGATAATCAACCCATTATCAATGTTATTTACTACAAGAAGAACAGTGATGTAATGGATAGGATTTTCCAGTAGGATTCTAGCAAAAACATGGATTCCAGCAAGATTGAATGGACTGGGTTTGAATGTGGATGACATATATGTGCATTCTATCTTTTTAACCAGCAAATTCATCAGAAGATGCCTTACCTTCCACAGCTCTTTTGAAGAACACTTTGCAGCTGCCACAAGTGAGAACTCCATAATGGCACCCAGAGGCCTCATCAGAGCAAACCAGGCAAAGCTTGGGAGGTGGTCCCGTAGTTGCTGAGGTTGTGGAGGGAGAAGAGCTTACATCTGATCTCATTCCAGGGCTAAAAAAAAAGCATTAAAATACATTTAATTAAGATTTATGGGATACTGGCAAAAGTAAGATCCATAACTGCCAGAAACAGGTTGTCCTTACCCTCAAATATCACAGTTCTGCTCACAAGGTTCACTGGACTCCGAAAGAGTTAACCATGAAATTAGTAAAACGTAAGTAAAGCTGTATGGAATTTTCACTGCCTCTTTGACTAGGTCACGATTACCTCCCTTGCACATTTCTGAAGCCAAGTTTCTTGCACAATTATCCTAGCCTTTAAAACTGACTCTTAAAACATGCTCTTATTCCATATTGTTTTCATTACTGTCACATTCCCTGCAGTCTGCACCGAGTCCTGCAAGAGCTTTCTTTCCAGCACCGTCAGGAGTTTTCTACTGGGATACTATTATGCAAGAAGCTGTGCAAATTAAGCCATATATTGATATATATTTAAAGTAATACATGATCATTTCACCCCAACATTTTAGGAGAAAATACTTATTCCTAATTGCAGGATGTAAACATAGAGGCCATCTGGAAATGAAGTGTTAGCTCCTTAAAAAAAAATAAAATAAATAATTGCTTGAAAAATAATAAAAACCCAATCTGTTGTAATCACCTTCAAGTTGCTTCTAATCATAAGGGCTGAACCGATGCTGGTTGTGCCAAAGCTCAGAGGTTAATCTCATTCAGCAACTCAAGATCAACAAACCCTGGCGTGTTACCCACTGGAGGCTGCCTCGACACTCCCCTTCGAAGGCCCATTTTGTTGAGTTTGTTTTCACAAAATTTAAACTTTTGAAATTAAATTTGTATCCTCTTCGCTTGACTTAAAGGCAATTTCCACAGAATTTTCTGTCCAGCCACCTGGGCTCCAGCCACCTGGCAGATGAAGCCAGAAACTAACACTTTTTTTAGGCTTCGGTGCCTCCGCTCAGAAACTCCCCCGAACATCCACGCTCCCTAATGTGGGCCTGACACTTGTGTGTGGGCAGGTTTTCATGGAAAATTCCTTTTCCTTACCTCAAGACAGTCTGACCAGACTCCAGTCACACATTTTTAAAAAACCCACAGTTCTCGAACATTCAAAAAAATCTTAAAATTCCAGCCCAAACTGAAACACTCCAGCACCTGGAGGTTCTGAACATGCCTCCTCCACACGCTCCAGCCCCAGAGAGGGCTCACAAATGCATCTTTAACTACACACTCCCCTCGTTTCTACAAGGGCAGAGGCACCCTAGGAATGTAATGATGGAAGACTCCCCCACACACACACCTTAATGATCCATTTGGAAAAAGGAGTTAAACTGTTCCTCCACTTTGCAATGTCATACATCCCCCACAAAAAATCCAAAGAAAACAACAATTTTTTAAAACCAGTAATGACAGAAGTCACAACCTACTGCAACCTGCCTCATTTTATCTGAAGTTTTAGGCCCACTAGCTCTTTTCCTTATACTAAAAATGTCAATTTAAACATTTGAATTCAGGCTAGGAGCCTAGGATTTTAAATAAGAAAGATGTAACTTGAGAACTTCATTTCATTAAAATGATTAAACCCAGAAAAAGATGGAAACATCTTTCTACGGGTAGTTTTGAAGACAGCTAATTTAGATACACAAATTAAACTCCTTATAACTTACAAATTTCTGACAAAAGCATTTTTAAGGGAACATTCATCAACTGTCACAGAAACTATGGCAGTGCCAGATATATTCCACTGCAACTTTTCAATCACCTTTAATTTTTAAACAGGGCTCATTTTCTCTACCAGTACCCTAGAAAATGTAATATGAGAAAGAAAACAGATGATGTGACTTACAAAACTAAAAATAAATTATTACATTGATTAATAAAGCAGCAGCCAGCAATCTAATCTGGGCTTCTGGCATATCTTTTCAAGCCTGGCTCTATCAGATAAGGCCAATATTTACTAACTGTGTGGAGAGCTGCCAGCCAGGGACAGTCCCCTGGTTGTGTAAAACACAATTTTGCTTGCCTAAAACATGCAGCAGCAGAGGGGCTGCAGGGCAGGGGGGGTCTCCAGAGAGCTACACCCCAGGCTGGAGACTTGATGTAAATCTTCTGTGTACCTATATGTTCTAAAAGACAAACAACCACTTCCTAAGGAAGAAGTAAGGGAGGAAAATTACACTCCCAGACAATACAATAATAAAAATGTTACCTTTTAGGTACTTGCAGAAATGTTTTTAAACTCAACAAAACCCTAATGACCTTTGAGTCTTATGTAAATAAAATAAAAAGCCGAGAAGTACAGATGAGAGAGGAAAAAAAATCCCAAATGTTAAGGGTTCCAAATTTGCAAAAAGCTTTAATTAAATTTTGAGAGGCTAAGTTGTTTAAGGCACTGAGCTCCATTCCCACTTACTTTCAAAAATTATTTATATACAATCTCACTTGATTTGTAAAGATCTGTTGTTTCCAGTCAAGGAAAACAAGGGGGTAAAATGGAAAGACTTCAAGAAGATGCAGCTGCAGTGACCAGCTCTGCAGAAATCCAGTTGTTTAACCAAAGCCATTTCTGTGTTAATCATTTACCAGAGGTTTTCAAACCAGGGTCAAGGTCCAAACTGTATTAAGCCGGGTGTGTTAGCATTTATGGTGGTGGGAAGTTTTCCTTTCGGGGGGGTCACGTCATCCCCCCGTGGTGGCCGGGGCACAAGGTGGTCCCACCGGGCTCCTCCGAACAGGCCCTTGCAGCCCCAACATGGTGACAGCAAAGTCACAGCCCTGCCATCAGCTACAAACACGTGGCAGAAAGATGTGGCTGAGGAAGTGACTGGTGGTTCTGAAGAAACCTTCCTCCACTGCTGAAGAAGACATCTGCCTTTTCCTCTTTCTTCTGTGAAGAACATAAAATCTCCCCGACACAACACAATGTGCTCCCGCCCTGGTATGCTGGGCCTGCTAACACACTGATGTGATGAAAAAAATATATTATGTTCCTGTTACTTTACATTATTGAACTAAAAAACCCTCTAGTGAGATAACGAAGAGATTAATACTTCCAGCAACTAAATGTGCTGGTTTTTTAGTGTCTACAACTCACACACAAGCTGAGGATGACCAGCCTTGACTGCACTTTGTCCAAAACTATTCCCAGTCCTAGCACAGTTCTGCTGTGAACTCTTAAAAAATGTGAATTAAATTAGCACCAATAGCAAGTTACACATGTGCAATGAGAAGAGAACTTGGCTAACAGTTAACAGTTTAAAAACTAATTGCTTGTAAGGAAAATGGCTGCAAGCTATGGAACAGAAGCAGCATCTGGGGAGAGCTGTGGGGCTGTCAGGCAGAGAGCAGCTCTCAGCAATTGTCACCTTTTGAAAAACATCTACCCTGAAGAAAAATTCTGGGGAAACGCATAATGGAAGCTCTTTTCAGACATATGGACAATCCAGGTACTCCCTGGTGTTGTTACACATTACAAAAACAGAACACTTGCAACTGCCTCCTAAAAAACCTGTCAGAAAATGCTACCCATGTCCACTGGCAGCTCCAAGGGAAGAAATGGAGGCAGCGTGTCCAGGGTGGGAAGAAATGGCTCAGGATTTGACTGCATTTATTTTGACTGGTCTTTGATAAGACTTCAGTTTGCTTCTACCTCTAATCTCATGCTTCACACGTCCAAGCTGTAGTCACTCCCGACACCCCCAGACCACACCACTGCACACCAGCAGCCCTGCTCCTCCAGCCTCACTCCCCCCAGGGCTGAATTCATGTGCTCTTGAAAGAGTTGCTTATCTGCTGCAGTTGTATCACCAAACTAACTGTAAAGAAACGATTTTCAATGTCATTGCTGCCTGGGCCTCATTCTTATCTTCTAGCACTGAGAACAATGTAAACACTCAGCTGCATACACCAACTGATTACATTTTTTGAATTGCTTGCTTATTTTTTATTAACTAGAGAAGCTACTATTTGTTTTCTATACCCTCTTGGCCAGAAAGCAGTTTTCAGTTCAAGCAGGAAGATTTTTTAAAACAAGGCACTATACTTTTCATTACAATATTAGAATAAAAGTATATTTACCAATTGAAAATAATTTTGAAAATGTATTTTTCCTAAGAACCTGCACCACTGGTTACCATGGTCTTCCCTGTCTCTTGTAATGTACTCACTTCAGTTTAAAGAGACTGAAAATTGGTACAAGTTGGTAAGAACCAATGTTGTTCTCCCAGGCTGGCTACACACCCTATGCAGGGACACAGCCTTGGCTTGGCCACCCCAGGGCTGCCCACAAAACAAAACAAGCCAACCAAATAATTTAAGAATAGGTAAGTTCTGTAGAAAAGTTTTCTTTCCTGTTATGTACTGAAAACAGAACTGAATTGCTGTGGTAGAAGTGCTGTTCTTGATTACAAGCGTGTCCCCAGTTATGCCATAATAAATTAAAAACTTTTCTCTGAATTACAGCATTTAACCAAAGCCTGCAAATAAAAGCATCCAGCACGAGTGTTTTACAGCCCCTCTGAAAGCCAACAAACACCAGTTCCTTACCCACCCACCCAGATAAATCCCATATCGTGACTTGATAAACCAGAAAACCAGATTTTTAACTAACGGTCTGGACTTGTGCACCCGGCTGGAACACAACCAAGATAACACCAACACGGGGCACGTGTCACCCGGGAAGGCCATGGCAGCCTTGCCTGGCTGCAGGGAAAGCCACTCTTCCACAAGGAGACTGGCAGGTGCCTTCCTGCCTCCTCCCGATGGGCTCTGTGCACCAGGACGTATCCTACTGCTCATTTACCAGGGAGTGCAGGGATCCTAACCCACAGAAAAAATTAAAAAGAGACATACCTGAGGCAGCAAAGTCTCATAATTAATCTCTACAGCTGCACAGTAACAAGTTTTACCACTCTCTGCTGTGCAAGGAAAGCAGACTGGACCATTCACCGTTTTGTATAAAGTTGCCTCAAGTACCATACATGGTTTTTTTCCACCAACATCATAACAAGGACATTGACCCAAGTATCCAGCCTG